AATTCAGTTTTGCTTGGGGGCAAGCAAAAGACAAGTGTGGGGTATTTTAATATGTGCATATTTAGTGTGTATTAAGTATAGTTTTTTATTCATATATTAGCTAAATTATCGCATATTAAGGACAAAAGGTACTTAAAAGTGTTAAATTATCTTTTTCAGTCCAAAGATGAAGCTCGAAAGCAAAAGGAAGCAGGAGAAGCGGTTAGGAGCTCAAGAATGGAATGAAGAAGAAAACCACTAAAAAGGCATCTACTCGTCGAGTCATATAGCCTACTCGACGAGTCCGGTCGAGGAATCAGAAGGATAATGACTCGGAATTCCAGATAGTTATCGCAATACGGGGAATGTGAGAGGGACTCGACGAGTCACCACTTGACTCGACGAGTCGGATCGCTTATTTAAAGATAACTTCATAGATCGATTAAAAAAAGTTCCGGGACGATTCAGAAGTGTTTTGCTGCGATTAAGAAGCCAGAAGAACCCTAGAAGTCGACAAAGAAAGCTAGAATTCAATTCCGGGAGTAATTAAGGCACAATTTCATCAGTCTACTTACTCTTTTGTTTCATCAATATGATTAAGCAACTTGAACTTGTTTGTTTGCTGTTATTTACTTTAATTATGAACTAAAATCTTTAGACTTCTGTTTGGGAATACAAAGTTGACAATATGGTTTGATTGATTGGTAGGATTAATTCCAAGTTGGTGAATTTTTGTTATTTTAGCTTGCTAAAGAACCTTGTGTATGAATAATAATTAATTTTCTGTTAATAGGAAGATAATTGATTAGCATGAACATCTATTGATTATCAACCTCATATGATATGTGACCACTATACTATATGTATAGGATTAATGAATATGAAACTAGAATTAATAAGAAAATTGAGTAAATTCATGTGCAAGCTTGTAAGATGACCATCAAACAAGAGGTTAATTAAGAATAATAAATTAATTAGCTATTGCAAGTCTAACTTAACCCGAATAATTAATCTAGTAAATCTAATTAAATTAAACAATTGGCCACTGTTTGAGTTAGTTTATTTGCTAAGGATTAGGATAGTGAACATGAACCTAATCACTTGAATCGGTAACCAACGAAAGAATTAATCCATTGCACTATTACCTTGAAATCAACCATAGAGTTAACCGAGTTGAACTAAACAGAAGTTCCTTTCCAATTATTGAATCTAGTTAAATCGTTATTTTCTAGTCTTAAATTAGTTATAGTTAGTAAGTTTCTAGTCTTGCAAAACTAGAGAAAAAACCTCTATTTCTTAATCAGCTTAGATAGAATTAGTTTTTAATTTAATTTGTCGTTCCCTGTGTTCAATACCCTGGTTATTTAGCTATACCACAATTGATAGGTTCACTGCCTTTTGTGTGTTATTTGATAATTAAAGTATGTTTAAAACTAAGTGAGTTTTACACACATCAGTCGTTACATCCGGAACTCCATCACACCTCTTGCTTAGCCCAAGAGAAAAAAAGGATCAGGTAGCTCCCGAATCAAACAACACCAAAGCAGAAATACTATTCACGAAGAATGATCCTAAAATAAAACACATAAATATAAGCAGCAATTCAATATAATTAAATAGATACCGAGAAAATACATACCCATCATCACGTCAGGAATCGCATGAGCCTCCTCCGCCGTCAACTAAACAGCCCTGATCTTCACCACAGGTGTATCTTCCCATCCCTGGTGGTCGTCGATAATCCTAAGAGTCGAAGAAGTGTGTGCTAACACCGACCCTAACACAACCAAACTCGGACATTGGGACTTCTTGTGGCCCCTTTAATTGCAATTAAAGCAAATCATTTCAAATCCTAGGGTGGTGGTAGCAGTACAATCTCTGTTATGATAACCCGTACGGCCGCACTTGATGCAGCCTGAACCACCCATCCTGCATGGCCCCTCATCTGTCCTGTCGCATTTCCCGCAGCAGCTTTGGCCCTGTTGGCCTCTTGATCTCGAATCCTGAACCTTGGAACTCTTGCATGATCCCCCTGAAACTTGAGCCTGATCCAACTTCCTGTTCCACTCAATCTCGATATCAATCTCCTTATCTCGGGCTCTACCTATCATACTCTCCAGTGTCTTGCAAATGGATTGGCTCACAAACTATCGAATACCGCTCCTCAACATCTCCTAATACCTCACCTTCTTTATCTCCCTTTCCACCACATACTGTGGAACTAAAAGTTCCCTCTCCTGAAACATCGCGGTGATCTCAACCATGTCTTAGTAGTCTAGTGGAGATCCTGAAACTCTCACGCTAATTGTTGTACCTTGATCACTAGTGCAAACTCATTCCATAACCTGGTTACAAAATCATCCCATGACATGGAATCAATAGCCTCATCACCCACAGAGCGCCTAACCTCCTTCCACTAATCCTATGCCCTGTCCTTCAGAACACAAGATGCAAGTCTGACCTTTTCCCCCTTGAGACAAATGTTGGTGTGGAAAGTGTTAGCAACTTTTTTCTAACCACTACCTACTCACTACCGGTTCCTTTTCCCTGAAGTAGTCTGAATCCCTACACACCCGAAACTCCTTAAAGGTAAAAGAACGCGCCACTACCAAGGCCACCATCTCATAATGAAATGAGCTCAACCACTCATCCAGAATCTCCAAAATACCCTATTTGACCTTGCTAAAGATCACAAAATTCTGCTCAAGAATGCAACGCGTAATCTCAAACGAGATGAACTCTCTATTTTGATCATCCAACTGCGTGGATGCAAAACCTAAGCCCGATCCCTCTCCAGCAACATAACTGCCAATAATTCTGCGTCGCAGAGTCACCATACTTAAAATAGACCATTTAAACCATCAGAATATATCAAGGGATCACAACTCTACAAGCCTCCTGGTTTCATCGTAGCTCTCCTTGACTCGAGTACGGAGCCTCTGCTTCCAACGGTACGGGCCCATACTACCTTCCACATCTATCCGTACTTTCATCAAGGATTTCCTTGAATCATCCAAATCATTTATATCCACACAATTAGTCCTCCTGAAGACAAGGCTCCCAACACTAGATCTCATCCTAGGTTTTTCTAGGGAAAACTTCACACCACTCTCGGCCATCAGCTGCAAAAGGAATTCCCACAAACTTCGTCTAACTAGCTCACGAATACCACTACATATCACTAAAAACAGATAATTATTTGAATGACAGGTCTTACACTACAATGGTTGGACTCAGACAAGAGTTGTACAATAGAGTTAAAACCTAACCTTGTAAAATTATTTAGTTCTAATAATATGTAACTTAGCGTATTCTCTTACAAGTTAACTGAAGCTAGTGAGAAATCCTAAAATGAATAGAGCAAGCAACATTCGAGCGTCAAGTAATCAAAACCAAGCATCAGCTAGTCTACAAGCTCGAGCAATAAGTATACAAGGCATCTCTCCAACCATTCTACGATGCAAATATTGAGCAGAACCTTATCCCTAACTAGCATGTGGTTTAAAGATTCATAGATCAAAGCATATTAGATAACATGTATGTGCAATTAGAGAAACATTCAAAGTCCAATATGGCTTAATTTTCCAAAGGCCTAATCCTATTGTCCAAAGGCCTAATTTCCATAATAAACATTCAAAGTCCAATATGGCTCAATTTTCCAAATTGGTCCTAAATCCCTTTTATGGGGCTATACCCACAAGAGTCCAATAAAATATTAATAGCCCAAAAGAAGAATTTTGATGACTCAACAAGGGCCACGACAACTAAAGTCTAAAATGGCCCAATACCGAGAAGCCCACATCACCGAAACCCACTGCTGAGTAGCAGGGTGTACTCAGCTCATACATGCAACATACTCACTTTAGGGCTTGTACGCTAAGCGTTCCTGCTTATATGCCTAGCGTACTCCCCTATTTGGTCAACTTCTATTTTCTAGCTCTTAACCAATTAAGACTTCAAATCGAACTCATATCTAACTTCCTTAAGATGGTTTATCATGTAAAGTAGCCAACTTTACATGCATACACGACTTAATGAGGCTCTTGAGCTCAAGAGAGCTTAATAAATGACTTAATATGTGCATGAGACCATAAATACCATAAAGTTGCACCTTTAAGCTTAAGGAACCTTCCAAACAACCAGATCTAAAAGATTTAACTTCTAAAATGGTCGTAACTCATCGAGACCAACCAAAAGGGACCAAAAAGGACAATAAAAGGCTAAAGAGTTGATCAAAGAAAAGAGTAGACAAGGTATGGACTTTATACCTCAAAAGTCAGTAAAAGATGGAGCTAAATCTCGATCTCTAAGCTTCCCTCCAATGAATAAGTCTTCCAACTTCTTCTTCTATCAATTCAAGGAGCACAAACCACCGAAAATCAAGACCAAGGCTCAAGAACACTCAAAGATGCTATTAGGGTTTTAGGACAGTAGAAGCTAATAAAGAGGCCATCTCTTGGGAGTTAAGGTGAATATATAAGGTGCAACACCCGAAAATTAGGGTTTCATTAAACCCCTCATACGCCCTACATAACCCTTGTACGCCTAGCCTATGAGGCTTCAAGCTGCGATCAACTTATGCGTTAGTACGCTAAGTGTAACATGTGGTACACCTTGCGTACTAACATCTCAGCTAGTAAACTAAGAGTACCATATGGTATTCCCCGCCCGCGTACTAACCCCAAGGACCAAAATGGAATATTTTAATTATGAAGGGCTAAAAGGAAACATGCCCATTTCAAGTGTTACAACGTACATCCTACACATACTGCATATTCATTATAGCATCCTACTTTTTTCATTTTTTTCATTATAACATCCTACTCTTTTTTTTCATTTTTTCCATACATATATAAACACACATCACATACATTTATGCATTCTATTACATATGCACACATCATGCACATTACATACATACAATATGAAGAACTACAGTAAAATACTTCATGAAATGGAATAGAACCTTTGGTTGAACGAAATCAAAATGGTGGCAGACGCAGAACATTTGAAGAGGGGTGTCAGTCGTATACAAAGGTGGTGTACCTAATAGAATGTTTTTTTACACTACGGGGCGGAATTGGAGTAGTGGCACGGGAACGCAAATGATCTACACAGGTCCGCCACTGAATAGTACAACAACATAAAACAAAATCAAGAAGGGGAACATCAAGCACGGGATTTTATGGTGTCTATTTAGGAAATCTAACGCGCCTTGTTCTAATGCCCTGAAGCGTAGTTCATCAAAGGATCTCATCTTCTAACTACAAATGAACAAAAATAAATAATGTGTCAGTAAGTCATGTACCTTTATGTAGATAATCCATTTTCCTCTTAAAATGTCCATATTGATGTATTTGATAAAAGTTATATTAATTACTTTGATAATAGTGATGTTCATACTTACTTGAATTTTCATGGCATCCTTTAGTTGAAACAGAACCTCAACAATTGTAGGTCGTTCATCCCGAGTTTCTTGCAAACATTGATAAGCAACACCAGAAAACTTGAGCAACGTTCTTGGTTTGATGTCTTCTCTTATTCTTGGATCAATAATCTTGTTTAGCTCTCCATTTTTATAGTAGGTTCTCGCCAAATGATGGAGGAATCGGCGCTCATCATTGTAACTTACAACACACGCCAGCCTTCCACACAAAACTTCAAACAAAACCACGCCAAATGAGTATACATCTGACTCTTTAGTTAATAAACCCGTTCTTTCGTATTGTGGGTCATAATAACCGAGTGTGCCAGCAGGGTTAGTGATCACAGAGGTGTTTTGTTGATTTGCTAGTCCTATCGTAGCCAATCCAAAATCCGCAAGTTTTGCATTCCACTGCTCATCCAGCAAAATATTCGCGCTTTTAATATCACGATGTATTATTCTATGCTTTTCTGCCACACGATTATGAAGATAATCCAATGCAGAAGCAACATCAATGCATATTTTCAGGAGTTGTGGCCATGAGAGTCCGGTTGAAGGGTTACGTAAATATTTGTCAAGGCTTCCATTGCTTGCATATTCATAAACAAGGATCATCTCCTTGTTATCGTCACAAAACCCAACAAGGGTTATGATGTTCTCGTGCTGATACTGTGAAAGCATTGTGAGCTCGGTGAGGAACTCCTTACTACCTTGAAGTCCTTTGACATCTAGCCGTTTTACAGCAACTTTCTGGTTTACATGATCCCCCCAGGAGAGGGTTCCCATGTAGACACTTCCGTAACCTCCCTTCCCAATGAAATTTCCTTCGTTGAAGTTTTGGGTACAATTTTTAATGGCTTGGAGCGGGATTACAGGGTGGTTTGGCTGTTTCATATAACACATACCTGGACTAATTAATAGCCAACTTGTGTGTAACAAACATACCTATATATATATATATATATATATATATATATATATATATATATATATATATATATATATATATATATATATATATATATATATATATATATATATATATATGTATGTATATACAACTTCAGGAACTAACCTCTGGATGAAACCTCGGGTCTGGCAGAGGACTCCTCGAGGATATGTGTAATCTACGACTGAGGTCCTTAACAATGTCTTGAATATGCTTCGTCTCTGGCCTGAAACTTGATTTTAGTAAGAACCACAAAACACAATCTAGAAAACTAACATAACAGTTTTGTAGTTTTAATTACATCATATTAAGCTATTATATATGTTTTATTAAGTTTTTCACATCCATGACACATAATATATTCATTTCTAACTACAGTGATATTTAATGATTAAGGTGATAATATTTATGTATTATGAGACCAGAGAACCTATGAACCATCACCCGAGTGGCTCAATGGGTCGAGTACAGTGGGGATACATTCTCCATAGGCCATATGGAGCTTCTCGGTTCATATCTAGCATGTTCCATTTGAGGGGTGGCCATGTGGGGGGTATGCAACACCTCCTAGGATGCTTCTGAGTGTTTGTTTTTTGTAGATCTTTTTGGTCACTTGTATATGCGTGCGAGCAAAAAATTGTAAGAAAGTTTGTTTTTAGAAGACTATGGACATAAAATTGTTAGGCAGACCATCATTCTGGAGACAAAAAACAAAGGCTTCTAAAGCTCGCAACTTCTTAACCTAGGATGCTTAGGAGGTGTTTGTTTTTTTGTTTTAGAAAAAAATCTTTTTGGTCTCTTGTATATTCTGTCTTTCTTTTGTTTTCTTAGAAATAGATTTAAATGGGGAGGACAATATTATGGGATAACCCAATGTATTGTACTTAACCTTATAATTTCTTTACAATGTTTATTTTTTATAAATTAAGATTTGCTCTTAAAAATAAATAAAAAAACAAGAAACGAAAAAATAGTGAGTACGCCATATGGCTAAAAGTACGTATGTCCTGTCCATAGAATTTAAACAAGTTTTGTATCTTATAAAATACTTATTTATTTTTTATTTTGTTTATTAAAGACTATTCTTCAAAACTATTAAATGTTAATATCGATCATAAGAGATTATTATTCGTTCAATTTAACCAACTATATTAAGTGGATCTGAATTTGACATTTTATACATTTTAGGTAAAATTACACAAAACGTCCCTTGCATAAGTGCCAAAAAGACACATTATGTTCTTATATTCAAAATTTAACTCAGATTATCCGTGTTATCGTTAATAATCGCAATCGCACATTATGTATCTCATAGCATAAACTGATTATCTTTCCTTTTTCTTTTTCTTTTTCAATTGTTTGTAATTTTCTTTTATTTTTGTTTTATTATATTTTATAGAAAAGGAAATTTCCACTTAAATTGGTTCCACCATCTCTTTATCAACCACCTCCGACCACTAACCACCTCTGGCTATCAGCACCTTCAACTACCTGCCACCTCCAACAAACACCACTAACCATCCCTGACAAACAACATTCACCTCAAAAAAGAAAACCTGAAATTAAACCCAGGGCCAACTCAACAAATTTGGGGGCTCTAAGCGAACTAAAAATTTGGGGCCCTTTGATATTAATATACTTAGCTATAAACCCTCCTCCTTTATCCGGACTTGGTACCGGCAATAATAAACTAAAAATTTGGGGGCCTTTCACATTACTATACACAGTCCATGTTGAATGTATAAGCAAGACTAAGGGTAGTTTCATCAATGATCTTTAAAGATAGTTATTTATGACAGTTTTTTGGTGGTTAATCATCACCCACCATTGTCTTGGTTCAAAAGTTGTCATGTACAATATATTGTTGGCTACAAACTACAAAGTTATCAATATTAGGTCGATTGCAAAGATACAAAGTTCTCTATTACAGTATATCCAAGTTTTGTTAATTCAAGGGAAATCTACCAAAAAACACAGCTAGAACATGAAACTTGGAATAAATAGTTTATTATCTTTTATGGAGTTTGGGAATGCATGCTTCAATGGAGAGAGAAGAAACCTGAAACCATATGTAGTGGAGAAGGAAGAAATTGTAAGTGTATGCAGTTGTGCGGCACAACTTGTGCTGTGAATCAGAACTCAGAAGTTAGAAGAAGAAGATTAGAAGAAGATTGAGCAGATCAGCAGAGCAGGCGATGACGGATCAAGGGCGCAAACACAGAAATCATATGCAGTGGAACTATGGAAGAACAAACGTCATTTTTTTAGCCGTTTACCTTAGCCGATTAGGGATATAATACATAGACCCCTTGGTTTGTGGGGCCCTCTTGATGTGGGGGCCCTAAGCCCTAACTTTGATTTACTATGCATTAAGTCGGCCCTGATTAAACCCTAAAATCAAACTTAAATTCAACACTACATGTGAAGAGATATGCAAATGAGTGTTTGTATACCGAATCCATACCATAGATTTACAAACGGGTCAAACAAATAAGAGAGAAAAGAGTATTAGAGGAAGATTGTGACCAGAAAAAACATTTCAACCCATTGTCCACCACTTCCATGAAACTTGCAACTCCCGTTGTCTTGTCCCCCAAAATCGTGTGTACAAATTCCTGAAATCGTTTGGGAAGCTAAATCCTCTGACAAGTTTAAACAGTAAAAAAGAGGGAGACAGGCGATGGTGGATCAAATAAAAAGTTTGTGAGGTGGCAGTGATGCGTGATGTTCGCCGGAGTTGATGCTTGGGGTCGATGTCTGTGCTTCGGATAGGAGATTTATGGTTAGAGGAGAGGAGATTTATGGTTACAGTGTGATATACACCTAGTGGGGAAGATAATGCTCTTCTCCGACCAAACGTCATCATCACCCTCCATATTCATCTTATTCTTCTTCTATGATCTGACCACTGTAGTCACCCTCCCTCTTCTTCTCCAACCAAACTGCCACTCTCCACCCTCTTTTCCGACCAATCTCTTTTCAAGCACAATTTACTCATGATTTAGGTTTCTCTACTCATAGTTTTAGAGAAGAAAGTGGAGAGGAAGGTACAAAAATTAGATTAGATGGTAATGGGTTGTGTTGGAATTTATTTTACATTTTCTCCTTATTAATAAATACAAAATAATTTATAAGTAGCAATAAGGGTAATATAGCCATTTTATGTCCAAGGGATGAAGCATGAAAATGTAAATTAACAAGAGACGAAGATTGCAACTATATTAACCAAATGAGGGACGTTCTTAGTTCATTTTTGAAAATAGAAATTGAATGTGTCTTTTTTACTTTAGATTTTAATAAGTTTAATTGTTCTATCCGGAAGATTGGCATCGGTTGAAATCTGATTTCGATTTGTTTTTCGTGTTTTTGAAATCGGAATCCGAATTGTTTTTGGTTTCTATTAACACATATCTTATTTACGAGATGAAATAGAGATGAAACAACTGAGAAATTAATACCAAATATAAAATAAATGTTTTCAAAAATTTTGTTATTTCACTTGTTTGAAATTATTTTTGGAATTATAAAACTACAACTAATGAAACATTCTTTCAAGTTATTTAAAAATCAGTGTTTTATATAGCTTGTAGACATTCAAAAACAAACATTTTATTTATAAACTGTATATTTCTTATTAAAATCTTCTCTTATAGATGTGGAAAAGATTACATAAATTTTACATCCTCAAGAACAAACATCATATTAGTATCATTCACCAAAGACACACCCCTCTAGGGCTACAAACGAGCCGAGTCGAGCTCGAGTCTGATCAGGCTTGGGCTTGGCTCGTTTAACTATTTATAGGCTCGAGATCGAGCTCGGCTCGTTCAAGCTTTGTGGAAGAAAGCTCTAGCTTGGCTCGTTAAGAATTGTACGGGCTCAAGCTCGGTTTGAGCTCGGCTCATATACGGTATATTCTAATTTCCTAAAATGATATTTATTAAATTATTATTTATTTTAATATATAAAAATATAAATATTTTTTTATTATATATATATATATATATATATATATATATATATATATATATATATATATATATATATATATATATATATATATATATATATATATATATATATATATATATATATATAGGCTCGTTTAGGCTTGTGAGCCTAAGTGAGCCAAGAAACATAGGCTCGAGCTTATTTAATAAACGAACCTAATATTAAGCTCGAGCTCGGCTCAGACTCGTTTAAAATCGATCTCGAATCGAACTTTTAACGATTTGATCTCGAATAGCTCACGAGTAGTTTGACTCGTTTGCACCCGTACACCCGTCCCCAAAAAGTTCCAAATCGGGGAAATCACAACGGGGCAATATGAGGAACATATTTCTAACAATAGAACGGCCAATGTAAAAGAGTATTTACCTTACTAGACTTCGTTAACTTTCTATAAGACCATCAAAATGGTTATTGATGTGGTTTTGCATGAATTGAAACAAAATGTCATGAAATAGCAAATCGTTGAAATAATAAATAAAAAGAAACTATATAAAACAAATAAAAGCTTTATATAAATTAATTAACTAATTCTCACTATAGTTTGTCATCTATATATGATTTAATTTATAGCTAATAGGTTATTTTGGGTGGATTCTATTGTCACTGTTAGGTGAAAGGTCGTAAGATTCTAGATAGACCTCTCATCGTTAATTAAATTTTTAAATTTTCTAAGGCTATTTTTTTTTACACACCATTTTATTATATACCTATTAACTAGTCGAATTTTCAAAATCAACGTTTTTATATGGTATTTTGGAAATCATTTATATCTTAATATTTATAAATATTTATAAGAACACACATTTTATAAGTATTCATATGTGCTCATTTTATTTAAATATGTTCATGCTTATTATTAATTTTTTTTGTACTAATTCATGGAAATGTTTCGTCGTCCAAGGCACAAGTTACATTCTTCTGATAAAGTATAGAT